TCAGTTCAGTGTTCAGAGCCTTTGCAGTGCTATCGAGATCTGTCCTATGTGTCCACCACCCGGTGGCCAGTCTCTAGGACAGGGATTTGGTACGCTGCTCTACCATGCACTTTGTACACTGTGTCCGCCTCCCCTCCAGGGCCAAGCAGTGAGCGGATAAAGGGATAACATAGGCCATCAGGACTCTCTCAGGACTGCAGGTTCCCTTCCCTAAGAGCTTTTGGCTCCTGTTTAGTATCACTGCCACTAGGATTACTGAGAGAAAATGGGAAGAGACACAAGAAGCACAAACTAAAAACAGACAACCAGGGCTCTCTGACCCCCAGGGAGGCCCTTTCCCTCTATTTTAGTCCATTCCTGCTGCTGTAGCAAAATACTTTCGACTGGTAATTTACAAACAACACAAATTTACATTTATGGGGCCTGGGGAGTCCAAGATCAAGGCGCCGCAGGCTCACCATTTGGTGAGGGCCCAGTCTCTGCTTGCAATGTGGCACCTTGCGGCTGCATCCTCCAGAGGGGAAAAACGCTTTGTCCTCACATGGCAGAAGAGGCAAAAAGGGAAAAGGGACAGACGGTCTCCCTCAGGGCACAGATGTTCAAGCCACAGCACTCTCTGTCTCTGTCGGGTGTACGGTTCTTCATTTCCAGTTGTCTTTTGTCCAGGCCAGGGGATGCCCAAGGAGAAGTAAATGAGAAACTGGCTCCAGATGCGTAGGTCTTCCCTTCCTGACTTCCTTCTCCAGCCAGTTTGCTACCATTTGTTTCTCTGAGTCCTCAGATTCAGGGTTTATAGCTGCATTCAGTGAGAGACAGGGCAGACAGGACTTGTTCAAAATTTTCCAGAACTAGAACACACTCCTGGTAATGTGAATTCATAGCTCTTTCTTTCAAAAGGTGCTGTCTGTTTTCCCAATTTTGAATAGGGGAGAAAGGCATGGGATCGCAGTTCCGAATCTAGGCCTCATGAGGCCTAATGAGGCCTAATGTGCTTCTGCTAGCTCTCAGACCCCCACACAGTCACGAAAACAAGCCTGGCCACCCTGCTGGAGGAGGAAACACCAGGTGGAACAGAGCTGCCTCATTCCAGTCCAGGCCACCTTGACCAGCCAGTCCCATTGCAGCCAACCCCCCAGCTGGCGACACAAGAAGCACAAACTAAAAACAGACAACCAGGGCT